GCGATTTCGGCTTCATCGAGGCGGCTCTCAAGTGTACGGTGTACCATGGGTCGCGGTGTAACGGAAACAGCCTCTAGCTGGAAAGACAGCCTGCTGGCCTCCGGAGTTTCGGAAGTTTGGTTCATTGTCAACACAATAGCGTCGCTGTCTGCGTGAACGGGACCGAAATCGGGACCCATTGGAGCCTGCTGGTAAGATTCTAATATTGGCACATTTTGGTGGTGGAACCACTTTCCAGCCCTCTTACAGGCCCCACAGCCGGCATTCTACGGCGCGCGCGGAAGGGATTTGGCGCGTCTCCATCCAAAGCCTCATCACGTGGGAGGCCGATCCTTGGCTTTCCTTCTTTTGGCTTTAAGGCAGCTACAGCGGCGCTTGCAAAGGAAACGTCGCTTATCCTTGGACGGTTCTTGTTTTTCTTTGGAAGCACGGTGCTACAGGCACGTTTGGCTGACTGGTATAGTTAGATTTTCAAACTGTGAAGAGTAGTTTCCCGTGTTTTCCTGCTTTTGCCCATGTTTTCCAGCTGTGGACTTCTTGGAAGTTTCGTAGCTGAGAAGGCCTCAGCTCCCTGCTAGTCGTTTTCACTCTTGGCAACTTAAGAAGTTGTGCCTTGCTTTGGCTCAAGACCGGATTTGCCGGTTGTGTAAGATGTAAAATGAAGGCTCTGTCCGATTGTTGTGAACAGCAGTGCTTTGCTAAGGTTTTGTTGAACGTTGTTCGGTCTTTTCCGTGCTTGCAGAGCGTGTTGATCCGTTTAGGACTTACGCTGGACCACTTCACAAGTGAAAAAGCCCAACATGCATGTTGATTCTTATTCAAGATTAGCACTGTTGCTGTTTATACGCAAAAAGCCATTATAACGCGTAATTTTTAATGCCAGAACAACACCTAAAACAATTTAAGCAGAAGCTCTGGGTGCTCGAGTTTTTTTCCGCTTATTTCTAACTTGGAGTTGGACTTTCCGGTTTGCAGCAAGGATCTTCAAATCGCACGTAGTCGCCATGTCCTCAAAGAGGGGCACAAGAGACCGACTCCGGACTGTGGTCACTACTGTGCCTTATTTTTTGACAGTGACGGTGTTATCTGGCATGCTGATGACGGTGTGCAAGCTGTTGTGATTTCCAAGAGCGATGTCATCGAACATTATGCTGATCTCTATCTCTTAAGTTACATTCTGAAAAGCTGACCACATGGCTCTGCTTGGGCATCCGTGCCGGGAGCCATACCTCCTCGGGATGCAATAGCACAGCCTTTTGTGCCGGGCAGCTTATGCTTATCCCGTGTTGTCGTTCGCCAAAGCCGGACTTCTGCAACGCCAAAAATGAAAAGTGATGTTCGAATATATTTACAACACAGTATTATGAAATGGTGTACACAACATGTGGTAGGGCTTTATTGTCTAGTATATACTATTCTGTACCACAGCAGAGAATAGAAACAACTTTATGTAAAATAATAACCGTAAGTAAGGGTAGTTGTCTGTCACATAAGCCAAGTTCTGTATTTTCTTGATGTAGTATTCACATATCCTATAGCAATACGATTGTAACGATTGATTGAGTTGTAATATATTGTGCAGCATTACCAAAGCTGGAGTTTATACTCTTAATGCAAGAATTTGTTTACCGCAATGTAAATAACATAGCGAAATAATATCAATATTAGATATACTGATACAATGCTTGTATGACAGCTCGCATCAAGTAAATCTAATCAAGTCATGTCAATACGGTATGTTGTTTCCAAGTGTATATTGCTTCGAAGCCCAGTTGTACGTAAAGACTTGGGCCTCGAGCATCCCCTTCCCCACTGCCCCCACGCCCCGCGAGCTCCCCGCAGCCCCCGCTCCCCTGCACCCCACCCAACCCGCGTCCCGCAGGCCAAAAAACAGGCAAAAAAAAGGCCAAACAAAATTCTCCACCCGCTTTGTTGTGGCGTCGAACCAGTCTCTGAAACAAGCATGGAGTGTGTGCTCTGGTATTTTGATGGCACGAAGAAGGCAGGCACCATGAACGGAAGATTTGGTACGTGATTGGGTGGCTGACATGCGGGAAGAGCTGCAGGTTTAATCTTCCACAAACACGTGCGGCAAGTAGAAGTGGAAGCTTTGTCTCGGAGCATATGCTTCGCTGTGGGCTGGAGATGCCGTTCGGACGTTCATGCTCCTTTCTCGGAATGTCCTTGTTGGCTGCCGTGCCCAGAGGCTCAAGGCAGTCCTCGCTTTCCACGCGAGGCAGCAGTCTGACTTAATTCTAGTTTTCGTGAGCTTACTGCGCAAGGATGTGAGTGCCTTGCTCGGACGTAATGTCCACGGCGTTGCTTTTCGTGTGCTTGACGGTGCTAACTGCCGGCGAACGTCTTGGCGGGAACCTCGCCCTGGAGCCGGAGGCAGCCGGACCTTGCATTTGAGAGATGATGCTCAAACCATGTTAATGTGCATTGCTGCAGCTGACTGAGCTTGTCCTGTGCATGACTTCCAAGGTATACCGGCCAAAAAAGGGGAAACTGCAACAGGCATTTCCCAAGACTTGCGAAGATGGCGTGATTGACCTCCAAGGGGTGTACGAAATCAACGAAGACACGGCGATCCGAGGGTGCAACCTGCAGGGCAGTGGTGCCAAGAGTGCAATCATCCTGTTGCATGCGCACCTCACCTTTGAACCAGGCTGCAGCGGGCTTGCGTGTCTCGCTGTCGCGTTAGGATAAGCCACTAAAGTGATTAAAGTGTCTCCGCGACGGAGTTTGGAGAGCTTCTCATTGACAGGTTCGGGACATGAAGAACTTTCGTGGCTCGGTGCTATACGCTTCGTGGGAATGAAACCCTTGAAGCAAGCCTGTGTGACTGTGCACGGTCACCTCGTCATTGGTGGTGAACCTGATGGTAAGCCTGATGCCAACATCCAATTCGACAGCTGCCACAACGAGGCGGCTTGTGTAGTCGGGGCTTCAGCAAGCTTGGGTTCCATCATTCTTGAAACACTTCTCGTCATCCTGAGAGGGCAAGTTGTCTTTTGGCGGGGCCCTCCACGTGGTGAATGGCTTGACCATGCGATCCGGCTTCGTGATGATCCAGGACAGTGACTCAGCAGGCGGGTCTGTGCTGCAGGGGTGTTGACCTTGCAGTGCAACCCTTGTGCCAGGTGGTGGGGGCCTCTACATTCGCGGCAACGGGCTCCATCAAACGGGTGGGAAGGTTTTGCTGAAAGACTGTGGCTCGGATGGCTCCGGCGGAGGCCTGCTGATAGACTCAGATGATGGTTTTCAGCAGGATGCTGGTGACATCAGCTGCATAGGGTGCGCCGCAGCTCAGCGTGGGGGATGCATGGCCATCACTGGCCGTGCAATCATCTCTGGCTCCGTCGACGTGAAGAACTGTTCAGCTGACTTAGGTAAGAGCCCGGCGTGGTTTGGGGTTTTCCCTGTTGAATCTCACATCGCCCATGTGTAGCGGGAACGGGAAGTATCGGTATGAGCAGCTGTCCTGCCAGGGGGGGCCGTCTCTGTCCTTGGCGAGTTGGTGTCTTCGGGTCTCATGGAGTTCGCGTTGTGCAGAGCTAAAGCAGGCCGGGATTCATGTCTGGCATCCAAGCCCTTATGACTACGATGCATTTTGTCTGATACCTCATCGATAGCTCTTTTGTGGCAAATCGTGGCTTTTCAGATCCTTGAACTGTTCTGGAAGGCGGCGGCGGTGCGCTCCGGGTTGAGTCCGACTTCATCCAACATGCCGGCAGCATGAAGTTTCGATCATGCGCCGCTACCGAGGATGGAGGCCACGACTCGTTTCTTTGCAGACTGGCCGAATGTCCTTGACCTGAGCATGAGTTGAAGGTGCGATGAATCTTGGTAAGAGCCTAACCGCAACGGGCGCCATGGAGTTCTATGCATGCCACGCAGACGGCGATGGCTGGGCTCTCAATGACTCCAGACCGACGCAGGTAGGCCAGACTTTGCCTGCGCGATGGGGATACCCATTCAAGACCTCAGGCGGTGCCATCAAGCTCCAAGGCGACCTCCTCCAACAAGCAGATGGAAACATGAGCTTCGCCTTATGCACCGCACGCCGGGGAGGAATGGGTGCCGACTGTTTCTTGTAGTGGTGCTAGCACTGTGTGGAGACCTGGTGTTTTTGCGAAGGTGCAGTGTCTGCTTACCGTCTTGAAGCTTCCAGCACCATGGAGTTCAAGGAGTGCCATGCGGACGATTCAGGCTTAACGCTGGAAGCCGCCGTTTGTGTCAGTCTTCTCTCTCTTGTTTGCATTTTCTGGCCACAAGGTGGTGCAGCTGTCGTTGAGACTGACTTCGCTCAGAAAGCCGGCCGTGCAGACTTTAAGTCATGCACCGCTAGAAACGGAGGCCGGGGGAGGCCAACAGCTGAGTTCACCATAGCCGGGTCATCCTGCCTCTCTGCCAGGCGCTCTGGAAGTCCGCGGTGACCTTGTTTGTGACGGCCTGTGCAGCATTAAATCTTGCCATGCGGAACAAGGCCGCCGAAATGAAAGGAAGCTGTCATCTGGTGCAGTGATGAAATCTGGAGCCGCAACGTGCCGTCTCAGTCTCGCCAGGTTCTGCTCTTGAGGTTTTGGGCGACTTTCTTGTTCCTCATCTGCCGACAGACTGTCCAGATGGAGTCCTGGACTTGACGGGAACGTATGTGGTCGACTGGGTTTCCACTTTTGATGGAAACTGCAAGATTAGGGGCAAGGGCGCCGCAGTGCTGATCAGAGAACCCCTGGTCGTCGAAGGAGCACTTTGTTGCAGGGTGCACTAGGAATCCAACAGTACCGGCATTTTGTTGTTTCTCTCCTGCCTGGGAAAGGAGCTGTTGAGTTCCTCGGCCTCATCACCTTCATTGGACTGTCGCCTATGGAGCAAGCCTGTGTGACGGTACACGGCTCTATCACAATTGGTGGCACTTCTGATGAAGCTAACATCCTGTTTACGGATTGCCACAACCAGGCAGTCCATCCGCCTGAAAAGCAGGTGAGGGCTCTGCTCCACCATTGACTTGCGTTGTGTGGGTGTGCAGGGCAACACGTCTGCTGGTGGAGCTCTCCACATCGCGGAGGGCCTCACTGTCGTCTCTGGTGTGTTGGAGATCGAGCGAAGCAGTAGCGTGAAAGGCAGGCGACATAGAGCCGCCAGGTTGTGAAGTTTGCGTGTTTTGGCCTGTCCGGTGCCAGGCGGTGCTGGGGTCTACATCGACAACGGCAATCTTCGACAAGCCGGTGGCATGATCAAAATCAAAGCCTCTACTTCAGAAGGCAATGGAGGAGGCTTGCTGATCAGCAAGGGCAGTCTCGTCCAGGCAGATGGACAAATCAGCTGCCACAAGTGTTCTGCAAAGCGTGGTGGATGCATGGCATTGAACGGCGTGCACAACTACAGCTTGCAGACGAACGGTTCCATTGAAGCGGAGGGCTGCACGGCTGCTGCAGGTGCAGGAAGCCAATCGTTTTGATCTTGCATAACACTGGACTCAGTTGTGTGCGTGCTTTGGAGGTGGTGCACTGCACATCAGTGCGGGACATTGGGCTTCGTTTGGCCGTATCGTTTTCAGGCGCTGCCGTGCAAATCGCGGAGCAGGTGCCGCAAGCAGTGTTTGGAGTGGTTCAAGCACTCGATTATTAGCTGTAGACGCCTTGTGTTCGTCGCTGCCGCAGATTCAAGGTGGTGCTGCCTGGGTACAGGGGAGCATCTTTCAAATGAAGGGCACCATGACGTTTGCATCGTGCACGGCAGCTGGCAAAGGCCCTCTGCGGCAATGCAAGTGTCTCAAGGTCTTTTTCCGCAGCCACCTGAGAGAGGGATGCTTCATAGATTCATACCTATGCGCACTTAAATGCATCCACCAACGTACACGCATTTAGGGTAAGGCACTCGGCAGGAAGAAGTCACGAAGCACGGTACCGCGCGATGCAAGACGCTGTTTGTCCTGGGAAGGCTAGTTTGACAGCTGTGTTTGTGTGGTGTGCATGCCTGTCATGGCAAATGTGATCTCGCCAGGTGGGGGAATGAAGGCAATGGGAAGCTTCGTGCAAGAGGAAGGGTCGGTTTCCTGCCAAGCCTGCAATAGTCGACGTGGAGGTTGTATGCACGTTGTCGACAAGTTCGTCCAGTCCAAGCGCGGCTCCGCCAACTTCACAGCTTGCAATACATCCGGTAATGGAGGCGCTTTGAGCGCCTGGAAGGGTGTCTACTTGGGTGGCAACAGCAGCTTTCAGGACTGCAGCTCTACAGGTTCTCCGGAATGCAAGTGGCCGCGCTGAGGTTAGTTTGCAGGCTGTCAGGCTGTCAGAACATGCTTTGATTTTCCGCCTTGGACCGAGTTCCGAGGTTATGACGGTGGCTGCCTTCACACCGAGGGTCACGCAAACTTTCAGGGCTTTGCTAGGTTTACCGACTGCGAAGCTGCTCGCCATGGTGGGGCCGTGTCAGCCCGAAGTGTGGAGAGCGGCGCACGTGTCGCTTTCGACTTCTGCAAAGCTGGATGGAGCGGCGGTGGCCTCTACCTCGAAGCGTTCCACCAGACGGGCGGCTCGGTGACGTTTGCATACTGTGCGGCAGATCTCGGGAATGGAGGAGGCACGCGGTTTCGGGAATAGTATCTGCAGATAAGAGCGCGACTTGTCCCTGCAGGTCTGTACCTGAGGGGGGACTTCCGGCAAGATGGTGGGGATACCGGCTTTGACCTTTGTGAGGCAAAGAATGGCAAGGGCGGCGGCCTGTGTGTCGAAAGGGGCTCATTGATACAAAGTGCTGGGAACCTGGACATCAAAACGTGCAAAGCAGGCAGCACAGGCTCGCGTGCTGGTTTTGGGTTGTTTTTTTTTGCCATGGCTTGCTTCAGTGCAGTGGCACCGTTACCAAGCAGAGCAGCTTGAGGCCTAAAACAAGCTTCGAAGAACTGGGCGAGCTCTCTAGTCACCAAGCCGGAAGTCTCGTCGTGAATGTGCAAGCGGGTCAGTTGCGGACCGAATATCCAGCTACCATGAACTAATCACGGTCCGGAGCAGTTGTTGGCAGTAGTAAGCACTAGGAACTCGGAAGGAATCTGTCCGGCACTGCTGCAGTTATACTTTTTTGGTGTCTTTGGTCGAACGACACTCGAGGCTTTTTGCATGAGAAGAGTGTTGAATGTTGGGCGGGTCTTCAGAAAACCTGAACCCTGAACCCCTAAACCCAAAACCCTATACCTAAATCCTAAACCCTAAACCATAAACCATAGCTTTATGAATGCAGCATGACTTGGCAGTAGAGTTGCATGGCTAGGGACTCGAACAATCCAAAACAGCTCTAGAATCCTGGACCCAGAGACTCCAATATTTCTTAATTAAGGAATATACCTTAAATATTATTAGGGTTCCCCCTATGATAATTTAAGGTATATTCCTTAATAAAGGGATATTGGAGTCTTTGGGGAGGTGGAGGAGGAGACGTGGAGCTTGACGTTGTTCAGCAAGGGAGCAAGCTTTCGGTTGCAGACTGTCGCAGCGAGAGAGATGGAGGTGGCATGCGTATCGGTGGCAACTTTACGCAGGAGTCCGGCGGCGTGGCGGCTTTCTCGAGTTGCTTCACGAAGCACGGGGGTGGTTGCCTTGCCGTAGAGCAGTCCGTCTACCTTGCGGGATCCAGTACGTTCAAGTCGTGTAAAGCTTCTGGAGCAAGCGCAAAAAGTCGTGGACCAGGCGTGCTAAAGTATTTTAGGGACCACGAGCGTCGAAGCGTAGAGAAAGCGCTCAATTCGTTGGCAATGCGCGCAGTAGGCTTAAACTACATTGCCTGAAGGTGGAGGTGGCTTGCTTGTTCACCTCCACTTCTTTCAGCGTGGAGGAGCTATCAGCTTCGAGAATTGCAGGGCTGCCAAGGGCTTTGGCGGCGGAGTGCAAGTCCGTCATGGCAACTTCACCTCTGCCTCCGGCGTCCTGAATTTCACGCGATGCTTTGCGCAGCTAGGTGGTGGTGGCGCTTTTGTAAATCTCCATGTTCACGCACGAGCCGATGCAAGGATGCGGTTTGAGAGGTGCACAACTGCAAAGCCACACAGTGGTGGAGGCCTTCAAGTGTCGGAGCTATGTATGTCATATGACTTTTCTGCTTGCTCTGATATCTTTGGACGATCGCTTCGACAGGTATGAGCCTTCAGCTTGGAAGTCTCTTCCAGCACGGTGGTGACATCAGGTTCTCTCACTGCAAAGCCGGCATGGGAGGGGGTCTGGCGCTGCCCCAGGGCTCCCTGCACCAGTTCACGGGTAGTTTGGGCTTCGAGGACTCCAGCTCTGGCGAGGGTGGTGGACTTTTCGTGGGCTGCTTGCTGAAGCTTAGCAACGGTTTAGGGTTTTGGCTGCTGGGGGATGGTTAGCGTTGGTTGGGATGGTCAGTCGACAAGAAATCGAAGGGTTCGTTTGCATGTCTCTTTGAAAGCAGTCAGTCCTCTTGGGACGGTTGCAAGGATCTATTTCCCGTCCCGACTCAAAACCAGAAAGGCAAGGATGTGCTGCTGATCGCCGGTGCCATGAACTTCAGCAACTGCCAAGCATTTGGACAAGGCGCCGGCTTTGCAAAACAGATTCAGAGCGAGTTTAGGGTTTAGGTCTGGGAGGCAATCGATCTCAGCACACTGAAACTATCGTTTGACGAAGAGATGTCCTTCCTAAGTTTTTTGACAGTATTAAAAAACCTAGCACACAGGATTCGCTTCTTCGCCTTCCCCTGCACGATGTTTATCTATTTTGTTGCTACTCTTGGTTGTTGCTTTATGCTTATTCGCGACGAGTGATCTCTTGGAGTGCCAAGTTGCCACATGGCATCAAGCATCGACATCGTCATCGTCGTCATCCTGAATCATCATGATCCTCATCCTGTTGTAGTTGTGCTGTCATGTAAGGCTGCACACTCATTTTGATATCAATGTGGCAGCGGGCTTCGTGGCCGAAGAGTCATCTTCATCTTGCACTGAAACGCAGGGTGAAGCCGGAACACTACAAGCACCACTGTTTCAGGCGTGCCGTGCACCAAAATCTGTGTGCCTCTGTGGGAACACATTCTGAGTTAGATAGCCGCTGCTTAAATAGTCTGCTATTGGCATGTTGAATTTGAAGACCCCTATCCTCGTAAACATCCCGAAGAACAGCACATATATCGGCATCCGGTCCCACTCCTGTGTCCTGGGCTTTCCGTCTTCTGCTGCAGTCGGTCCGTGTCTTCGTGTTTTGTCACTGATCCCACATGCGAAGCTTTATGCCGGTACTTGTGGTGAGCATTCCCAGTGTCATTGATCACCTCTGCTGCAAAAGAAGCCAATCATGGCATCAACCTGCTTCCCTAGCCAAATATGCATGATTTCGGCGCATGTGCCCCAAAAATCTTTCAAATGGAGCAGAATGGGGGCATTGCCGTCACTCTGTTTCGTCCTGCAGTTTCTGTCTGAGAGGAGCTTCTATGTATGTTGGTGGGGATCGCTGCATCGTTTCCCGCAGTATCAGTCAGGGAACGAGCCCAACCCGGTTCGAAGATTCATCCTCTGAAGTCTACGTTCTTGTTCTTGGACAGGTTCAGAAGAAACGTCAAGCAGAATCAAAGTCAAGGACAAAAAGATGAACCTCAAGAATCCAACCTAAGCCTTACTAAGCCCCACCCGTTCGGGTGGAGGCGGCGGAGCGGTGGTGAAGCAAGATTTTCTTCAACATGGCGGAGCACTCCTCGTCGATTCTTGTAACAGCCACGACGTTGGCGGCGGTCTCCACATCGGTGGCATATTCAATCAGACGTCAGACTCTGCGGCCCGATTCACAGCTTGTCGAGCACGAGTTGGAGGTTGCCTGGGTGTCGACGGCCCGGTCTTTGTCAGTGGCTCCAACACCTTCAAACGGTGTGTCGCTTTCGGAGATCGTGAAGGACTGCAGGGAGTGTAGGCATTCTGAAACTTGTTTCACACGTTTCGTGCAATCGTGGCTCAGCACAGCAAGACGAGTGCAGGTACGGGTGGGGGCGGACTCTTCACTCAGCAGACCTTCGCCCAGCTTGGCGGCATCATCAACTTCACTAAGTGTCGGGCCCTGAGGTCCGGTGGGGCACTGCGAATCAACAACGGCAGCCTACTCGCGAAGTCGGGCACGATGATTTTCAAGAAATGCAGGGCTGGGAACAGCGGTGGAGGAGCAGAGGTGGGTCTTCATGTCTACATTGGACCGGAAGCAAAGATGTTCCTTCGTGAATGCAGTTCTCATTATTTTGGCGGAGGCCGGAATGGGCCAACAGCTGTCCCTGAGACCCTAAATCCTAAACCCTAAAACACAAACCCTAAACCCTTGAACAGCTTGGTTTGATAGGGTTTTTGCGAGCCTTGGCTAGGCAGGCCAGAGAAGCATGCTGAGAGACTTCCCGTTCAAAGAATTTGAAGGCCACTGCTGATACTGCTAGTGCTAAACACCGTTGTGTTGTGTCTTGCCGAGCTTTGCATATCAATTGTGAATACTGTACCTGCAATTGACTCGTGATCGTGCTTGTTGTAGTACGCTTGCATTTGTTCAATCATCGCCACTGCTATTGCTACCGTCTGTTGCAGTGATGGTTTCTGCCCGTCGTTGTTTGTGGCGACGACTTTGTCCACACGGTAATCGGCTTGGTCTTCGCACGTCTTCGCTGATGCTGTTCAATGCCTGTCATCACAGTAATTAGTTGATTTGGTTGTGGTGGTGGTGCTGGTGGCGGCGGTGGTGCTCGGGCTGTTACGCTTAATGCTTGCTTGTACGACTACAGCCACGGGCGCGATTATGATTTTGATTTGCTTCCAGCGGCTGTTTCTTGTTGAAGTTCACTTCTGTCTGTACTGCGAAGCGAAGGGCTGAAACACACTGGCCTCCCAGTTTTGGCAGGTATGTACCTCGGCGGCCACTTCTTCCAAGACGGGGGAAGCATGAATTTCAGCAGCTGCCAAGCAGACCGTGGAGGAGGTCTGGCCGTGTTCCGTTATTTCCATCAGCAAGCGGGCAGAATGCACTTCCTTGACTGCCACGCCGCTGTCGGTGGCGGCATATGGATGCAGAAGAACATGACCGTGGGCAGCAGCGTGGTTCTCTCCAAATGCAATGCCCACAGTTCAGATGTGGGAGGTTCTCGGGCTGTCAATCGAAACTGCAGCAAGCAAGACCTCGCTTAACGCTAAAGTTTCAGGACCTTTTCCTCTGCAATCTGTGTCCCAGGGCTTGTTTTGATTCTACCCTCAAGAGCTGGCGCGTGGCATGTTTTTCTTTTGCGTTTCTAACTTTTTTCCCTTTTTGATTCTCCAGCCCTGCCGGGGACCCCGAAGTCAGCGACCCTCGCCCCTCCGCAGCAAGTCGTACCTTCGCCGTCATAGTTTCATAGTTTGTAGACACCCCATACCCAGGTGCAACCCTTCTTGACAACATCTCCAGTCCCGAGCCGTAAGCTGGGTTCTTGTTAAGGAATTAAGTCAAGTGACCATAATAGGGATCTACAGCAAATGATGTGGTTTCCGTCGTATGGTAACTGAAATTGAATCCCTTAATCCCTTAACAAGAACCCAGGTTATGTTTCAAGCCCCGACTCCTAAACCCCGAAGGTGGCTGTGTTTACATCGACCAGGGCGAGCTGACCGTGAAAGGAAACGCATCCATGGAGAACTGCAGCTCGCTTGGGTCGGGCGGTGGCCTCCTGATGGGTAGCGGAGGTGCCTTTGCTGAAGAAGGGAAAGCTCCCAAACCCTTAAACTCCTGAGATCCTTGTGTATATCTTGCCCGGATCGTCGGCAGTGACTGCTTGCATAAACCCCTTGAGCCCATAGAGCTTCTGAGCCGCCCTCGTCCTCAGGTGTTCGTCAGCAAGCTGGCAGCAGCTTGAGCTTCCGCCACTGTTCGGCTCGCGGTGGAAACGGCGGTGGAATGTCGGCTTACAGCTTTGCCTCAGAGGGCTTCACAGAGTTTGCAAGCTGCGCGGCATCCTCTGGAGGCACTGAAAACCCCTTGGGTTCGTCGTGGTTCTTCTTTAGAGTTCGCAATACTGCGGTAGGACGAAAGTTCGTCGCACTCTGTGTGTCACTCTTGAACACGGTACAAACCCCTTTTCCCCTTAGACTCCTGCAC